TAAGGGACCACACAGGGAAGCACAGGGTCAGCAGATTTAGGATTGGCTAGTTTGAATAACTTCAGTGGGCTCTGGGCTTGGGGGCTGCCCCTTAACCGACTGAGCCACCCAGGTGCCCCTTAGGGGCTGCCCCCAGGGGCTTTCCCTTAGATATCTCATACCTGGCTCTGGGTGAGATTAGGGCAGGTGGCAGAGTGTGAAAACCAAGGAGGTGGTTAGGGGTGTGGTCTGGATTATGTGGTTTGCGTATGAAGGATGCCCTCTCTCTCCTAGGAGTTATTTACTGTCTCTAGGAATTGGCTGACCCTGGGAGGGGGAGTCCCCCTGGAGTCCACAAGGCTCCAGGCCTCAAAATATCAGAACCCAGAAAATAAAAGACACCATTAACACTGTATCCATTTAAAGCTTTATTCTCAAATTTAGTTACAATACAATTTTGCAATATGCAGTTTTATAAATGTCATCTAGTGGGTAGATGGGTGTATCAACTACCCTAATCATGATACACAATTTCATCATTTGCCCAAATTCCTTTATGCTGTCCCACAGCCCTAACCCCTGGCAACCACTAATGTAGTTTGCCTTTTTCAGAATATTGTACAATGCAATCATGCAAGAAGTAGGTAGGACTTTGAAGTGGCTTCTTTTACTTAGCATAAGGCTTTGAGATTCATCTAAGTTACTGTGAGATACACAAAGAAACAGGAACACGTGACCTATAATAGGAAAAAAGGTAGGTGATAGAAACTGCCTTTACAGGGCCCAGATGTTCAAATTAGTAAACAGATTTCAAAACAGTTAGTATAAATATGTCTAAAGAACTAATGAAAACCATATTTAAACAATTAAAGAAAAATTATGACAATAATTCATCAGTTGGAGACTATCATTAAAGAGGTAAGGATTATTGAAAAACAAATGAAAATTCTGGAGTGAAAAAATAAAATGACTGATGTGAAAACTTTCTAGAGGTACTCAACAGAAGATTTGAGCTGACAGGAAGAAGAATCAATACTCTTAAAGACAGAGGAATAGAAATTATACAATCTGAAGAACAAAAATTAAAATGGTGAAGAAAAAGAAACAGAGCCTCAGGGTCTTGTGGGACACAGCTAAGCATAATGAGAGTACCAGAAGGAGAAAAAGATTGAAGGACAGAAAACAAAACAAAACTAAACTAAACTAAACAAAAAAGCCCTCAAGTAATATTGGCCAAAATGTCCCAAATTTGATGAAAAATAACCCATACACTCAAGAAGCTCAATGAACTCCATGTTGGATATAGTCAGTCATCTACACTGTCCCCATCATAGTCAAATTGTTGAAAGCTAAAGATGGTTGGAAAGTTTTCTAAGCAACAAGATAAAGGTAACCTATCACAAACAACAGAGGACACAATATGTGATAATATATTCAATGTGATGAAACCTCTCAACTTAAGAATCTTATACTGAGCAAAAATATTTTTCAAAAATGAAGATGAAATAAAGGCATTCCCAGATAAACAAAAATGAAGAAAATTAACTGTTAGCAGACCTGCATTACCAGAAATACTTCAGCAAGTTTTTTTTCCAGTGTGAAAATAAGCAACACCAGACAGTAAATGAAGAAGGAACAAATATCAATAAAAGCAATTACATAGGTAATTATAATACAGCATAATGATATTTTCCCTTTCTTATGTTATTTAAAAATAAGTGCATAAGACAATGATTATAAAATTGTATTGTTTTTTAGCATATAAAAGAACATGTATATTATATATATATCAATAATAGTACAAAGGGGGAGGTAGAGATGAAGCTATAGATTTTTTTTCTTTTCAAATTTTTATTTAAATTCATTAGTTAGCATACAGTGCAATATTGGCTTCATGAGTAGAATTCAGTGATCCATCACTTACATATAATACTCAGTGCTCATCAAAACAGGTACCCTCTTTTTTTTTTTTTAATGATTATTTACTTTTGAGAGAGAGAGACAGACAGAGTGTGAGCAGGGGAGGGGCAGAGAAGGGAGACACAATCCAAAGCAGGCTCCGGGCTCCACGCTGTTAGCACAGAGCCCGACACAGGGCTCCGACCACAAACTGTGAGATAAGAGCCAAAGTCAGACGCTTAACCGACTGAGCCACCCGTCACCCCAAAAAGTTCCCTTTTAACTACCCATCACCTGGGGCATCTGGGTGGCTTAGTCAGTTAAATGTCCAACTCATGATCTCACAGTTCATGAGTTTGAGCCCTGAATTGGGCTCCGCACTCCTGCCTGGGATTTTCTCTCTCTGCCACCCCCCACTCCCAGGGTGTGCTTGCACTCTCTCTCTCAAAAATAAATAAACTGAAAAAAGTACCTATCCCCCATCTAGCCCAACCCCCACCTCCCTCCATCAACCCTCAGTTTGCTCTATCTTTAAGTCTCTTACGGCTTGCTTCCCTCTTTTTTCTTCCTCCACTCCCATATGTTCATCTGTTTTGTTTCTTTTTTTTTTTTTTAATGTTTTATTTATTTCTGAGAGAGAGAGAGACAATGTGAGCAGGGGAGGATCAGAGAGAGAGGGAGGCACAGAATCCGAAACAGGCTCCAGGATCTGAGCTAGCTGTCAGCACAGAGCCCGACGCGGGGCTCGAACCCACAAACTGTGAGATCATGACCTGAGCCGAAGTCGGACGCCTAACCAACTGAGCTACCCAGGTGCCCCTCATCTGTTTTGTTTCTTAAATCCCATATATGAGTGAAATCATATGGTATTTGTCTTTATTTTATTGACTTATTTTGTTTAGCATAGTACTCTCTAGCTCTATCCATGTTGTTGCAAATGGCAAGGTTTCATTCTTTCTGATGACTGAATAATGTTCCAATGTGTGTGTGTGTGTGTGTGTGTGTGTGTGTGTGAGTGTGTGTGTGTCATGACTACTTTGAAAAACTACGTGGTCTAATAAAAGGACTTGGGTCATTCACTAAGTGATAAGAATAGAAATGCAGGCAAAAAAAATTTAAAGAACAACAACCACAAAGAAGCGGGGGTAATTATTAGAACATCAAAACCTTTGAAGTAGTCTAAATATTTTGAAGTGTTCACCATCATATTAACTTCAGTCAGAATGTTTGTAAGGGAGCTGACTTCTGAGTTCCACCTTGCATTGCCAGGCTATCTCTCTTATCCCACAGGCACAGACCTACTGGAAAAGAAAGACACAAGGGCCTATATGATCTGTTAAGATGCAGAAAACAGAGATTAGGGTGATGGCAAAGCATGACCTTGAAAACAGGGATCAAATTTTAGTCCCGGGATGATACTGCTCCTGGGTGTCCAAAATGATATCAAGTTGCTACCTCTAAGTTCTGATTTTTTTAATCTTCTTTAAAAGTTTTTTAATGGTTTACTTATTTCTGAGAGAGAGAGAGAAAGACAGCGTGAGCAGGGGAGGGTCAGAGAGAGAGGGAGACACAGAATCTGAAGCAGGCTCCAGGAGCTCAGAGCCTGACCATGAGGCTTGAACCCATGGATCACAAGATCATGTCCTGATCTGAAGTTGGACGCTTAACTGATGAGCCACCCAGGCACCCCTAGATTTTATTATTTTTTATGACTGAAAAATATTTCATTATGTATCGATATCTGTTTTTCTTATCCAGTCATCCATTGGTGAAGACTTATGTTGTTTCCATATCTTGGCTATTGAAAATAATTCTTTGGAGGACATGGGGGTCTATATATCTTTTCAAATTAGTGTTCTTGTCCAAGAATTGGAATTGCTGGATCCTATGGCAGTTCTATTTTTAATTTTTGGAGGAACCTCCCTACTGTTTTCCACAGTGAATGCACCAATTTATGTTTCCAGGAACAGTTTCCCTTTTCTCCACATCCTCACTAACACTTAGTGTTTCTTGTCTTTTTGATTCTAACCATTCTAACAAGTGTGAGGTGCTATCTCATTGTACTTCTGATTTGCATTTCCCTGATGTTGAGTGACCTTAAATATGTTTTTATGTACCTGTTGGCTATCTGTATGTCTTTGGAAAAATGTCTATTCAGATCTTCTGCTCATTTTTTAATTGGATTTTTTTTTGGCTATTGAGCTGTATGAGTTCTTTAAATATTTCAGATATTAACTATCAGGTAGATGGTTTGCAAATATTTCCTCCCATTCAGTTTGTTGCCTTTTCTTTTTGTTGATGTTTTCTTTGCTGTGCAAAAACCTTTTAGTTTGATATAGTCCCATCTATTTGCTTTTGCTGTCAAATCCAAAAAAAATCATTGCCAAGACCAATGTCAAGGAGCTTACCACCTATGCTTTCTCCTAGGAGTTTTAAGGGTTAAGGTTTTCAACCCATTTTTGAGATAATTTTTGTGGTCCAGTTTCATTCTTTTGCATGCCTATACAGCTTTCTCAACACCATTTACTGAAGAGACTGCCCTTTGCTCATTGTATATTCTTGACTCCTTTGTCATAAATTAATTGACCATATATGCATGGGATTATTTATGGGCTCTCTATTCTGTTCTTTGATTTGTCTGTTTTTATGCCAATATCATACTGTTTTGATTACTATATCCTTGTAATAATATAGCTTGAAATCAGGGAGTATGATGCCTCCAGTTTTGTTCTTTCTCAGGATTGCTTTGGCCATTTGGGTTTTGTAAGTTCTGATTTTTAAAACAATTATTTTAATGTTTATTTATTCTTGAGAGACAAAGCATGAGTGGGGGAAGGGCAGAGAGAGAGAAAGGGAGACGATACAAAGCGAGCTTCGGGCTCTGAGCTGTCAGCACAGAGCCCAACACTGTGCTCAAACCCAGGAACTGTGAGATCATGACCTGAGCCACTCAGGTGCCCCTTCAAGTTCTGATCTTATAAAATGTTTCTAGAATCTTTACTTTCCAGGAAAGAGGAGGGAGACACAAGGAGTACCAAGAAAGTCAGGTCCCAGGGAAAGGGAAGCAGTAGGTTAGGGTCTCCACTCTGGCATCCCACACCTACCTAGTTCCCTCCTGGGATCTTCCTGCCTCCTGAACATTCAGGTGATGGTACGTACCATCCCTCAGGATCTAGGAACGACGGATTCTGAGTGGTTTGACCCCTGGGTATGCAGGGGCAAGAGGAACCACAGGTGGACCCCGGTGTTGTCTCTGAGTCTCCCGACTGGAGTGGGCATTCCTGAGCCTGGAGCCATTCTTGGGTTCTGGGAACCATGGTGTTGCACCTTCCGCACAAAGGAGCTGGGACCTGGCTGGGTGAAGGGTGCTGCGCCCGCAATGAGCTGGTCTACCTCGTGCCAGCACCTTCGATGGGAAGCAGGGGCTGGGAAGTGCCCTAAGTGCGTGCGTCCTTCCCTCGTGCAGTGCTCACGTGCCCCTTTCTTTGCTCACACGTTCCAAGGTCACGTCATAGGCGGCACATCCAACAGTGCACGCTTTGCCCGGGGCCCCTTTGGCAGCTAACGGAAACTTCTCTGAGCTACTGACTCTATTTGAAGCACCCGACCTTGCAGAACTGCTCCTCATGGGCAGTTACCTGAGCTGGCCCCGCCCTCGGCCGCTGGCCCCTTCTCTGCGGGGTGAGGACCCGCCAGAGACACTTGAGAGCCTGAGGCCCGCGCACCCGGTCGGTCGGGTTATCCCAACCTGCCGTGTTCACTCAGCGGCCCCGACTCTGGACGTAACTCGCAGGCTGTCATGCGAGAATCTTGTGGTTTCATCCCGTCGTCGTCGGTACCGTCTGCGGTTTGCCATAGTCCATCGGCGGCAATATCCAATCCATCAGGCCCGGTTTTTATTTCTGGGGGTCTTTTCCTCAGTACCCCACACCCGCTGTCCGAAGCCGGTGGTGTCTCCTTGCAGGCCCAAGATGTTCTGCACTTCAGTGATCCTGAAGATGGCATCTGCTAAGGGCAAACTGACGCTCTGTTTGGCTCTGAAGGAGACAGTCCTCTGTATGTGGTCTTCGCTGTCTGGTCACTTCCCAAATCCTTGTGAAAGGGAGATCTGGATGAGGGCCCTCAAAGAGAATGGTCAAGCAAAAGCCAAAGAAGAGAAGGACCTGACCTCCCTGATTGAGAAGGAGAAAGAGCTGGCAAAACCAGAGAAACGGCACCCAGTCCCCAAGGGGCAGGATGACCTGAGACAGGTTCCCGAGTGCAGTGGGAGACTGCAGTCAGCATTTAGGCGCCTGATGGTCAACGGAGTCCTCTCTTCCTTTGTGCCCAGGCCTGGGCCTCTGAAGAGAGACTTCCGTTCTATGAGCTTAGCAGACAGCCTGATTAAGAAATCCCACATGTGCTTTTTGAGCTCATGCAGCAAACGCAATGCCATCACCAGTTCTTACAGCTCCACTCGAGGGTTCCCACCAATGCCGAGGAGCTTCCCAGGCACAGCCGGGATCCAGGCCCCAGCCTCATATGAGCCCCAAGTGCTCGCCAAGAAGGCCAGTGAGGAGAGCTATCATTCTAGCTCTTCAGCCTCAGTAGAACCACAAAGGATGATCAAGTATGAAAATGTTGCAGATGCACCTTCTGGGCAGAAGCAAAGTTTGAGGGATCGCTCACCTCCACCCGACAGTACCAGGCCCCAGAAGCGAAAGATTCCTCTGCTGCTGTCCTCCAGGCGACATGAGCCAGTGATACTGCCCCCACTGCCCCAGCTGGGTTATCAAGTCACTGCTGAAGACCTTGACTTAGAGAAGAGAGCTGCGATCCAGTGGATCAACAAGGCCTTGGAAAGGTAAGACTGAGGCCATCTCCACCTGCAGTGCCCCTCAGCCTCCCTGTGTCCACACCTGCCTGTGGCAGGCACTCCCTCCTGCAGCCCCCAGTGCTGATTCACAACAGAAGACCTGGCAGATGCAGAACTCTCCAGGCCCAGTGGCCTTCCCATAGTTGGATGGAGGGGCACCTCCATGGGCTCTTTTTCTTGCGGTTCTCTCTAAACCTTTGCCCTGCTTGGTTTGGTTGTAAAAAGCGGGTCCCCTTTAACTGGCCCACTAGGATATATTCCCCAGTGCTTTGTGCTGGGCCTCACTGGTTTTTTGGATGAGCATTGTAGAAAACCATCAAAGTCCAGCTATGCCCAGGGCACTGTGCCTGTGGACCCACTCCACCCATCAAGTGGGTTAGCTCTCTCCATAGAGACAGAGTTTGATTCCCTTTGTCTTTCTGCCTGATGTGCCCCTAGAGATTGGGTGGTTGGAGCTTGTTAGGCCTGCCCACACAGTGGTCAGGATCCCTGCAACTGAAGAACAAGATTTGGAGACCAGTTTTGCTCCAGACAGGAGCAGGCAAGACCACCTTCTCCACTTGCTTAATTGGACCCTTGTCAGTCTTTCTCTTTCTACATACGAACACTTTGTACCACAAAGTGTTCAAAGTTTAATGAACATTCAGTAAATGAACAAAGTTATATATATCACACACACAGTCATATATAGTTATATGTCATATATATTTTATATAGTCATATATAATATATGTGTGTTATATGTATTATCTGTATTGTTAGCTGTATTATATATATTACATAATTTACTATCTGTAATGTACATAATATATACCATATATGTAATGCATGCATATAATACATGTGTATACATATGTATATACAGATGTATAATGTATTCAATATAACTCTTATATATAATAATAGAACATACCATTAACATAAAATACATGTTTACACGTGTAGTATATATGTATAATAATATATACATATATGTATATATAATGTATATAATATGTATAGAGTATACAAAATATATACTATGTATTACATATAATAATATATATTGAATCTATGTATGTGATTTTTTGTTATGCCAAATGTTCCATGTCTTTGCTCTTGAACATAGTGGAGGGAAAATTGACTTGTACACGTAGCTAGCCTTTACTGTGTCAGGTTTTCTGTGGTTTGGCTGATGGGAAAGCAGCACCACTTTATGCCTCTAGACACTGACTCCTGATTTTTGTATTTGAGACCGTGGGATGACCACTCACACACCAGCCTTTTCCCTCCTCTGTGTTTCACCTGCCCATCCGACATCACTGTGGGCTTGATCGTGCCTAGTGTATATTATTAAATGGCTGTGCCAACTTAGTCTTTTTTTCATTAAAAAATTTTTTTTAAATGTTTTATTTATTTCAGAGAGAGAGCGTGAGCAAGGGAGAGTCAGAGAGAGAGGGAGACACAGAATCTGAAACAGGCTCCAGGCTCTGAGCTGGCTGTCAGCACAGAGCCCGACGCAGAGCTTGAACCCACAAACCATGAGATCATGACCTGAACCGAAGTCAGAGGCTTAACCAACTTAGCCACCCAGGCGCCCCTCATTTTTAAATTGGATGCAATTTTAGACTTACAGGATAGTTACGGTTACAAAGAATCCCCACCTAGCCTTCATTGAGCTTCTCCTAATGTTAATGTCTTACAGAACAATTGTCAAAAACAGGAAACTGACACTATGATGCTATTAGCTAAACTTCTGACTTTATTGGATTTTCCTAGTGTTTCTAGTAAAGTTTTCTTTCTGTCACAGTATCGGTCCAGAATCTCAAATTGCATTTAGTTGTCATGTTTTCTGAGTCTCCTCCCAACTGACCATTTCTCTGTCTTAATACCTGTGTAAGCTTGATATGTCTGAAGAGTACTGGTTAGGTATTTTGCAGAATTTCCTTCAATTCGGATTTCTCTTTCCTCATAATAACATTGACGTTATAGATTTCTAAGAAAAGCCTTAGGTGATGTACATTTCTCAGCACATCATCTAAGGGTACATAATATGCATATGTCTTATTATGGGAAATATTAGCCTTGATCACCTGGTTAAGATGATGTATGCCAGAGTTCTCCATTGTATAATTATTTTTCCTGTGTAATAAATATTTGAGGGGAGAATCCTTCTTTGATGCTACCAAAAAATCCTTTTTATCCTTGAACTTTGCATCATCAATGGACCTTGCCAACGCGATTATTATTGACTGTTTTTTTTTAAATTAATTTTTTTATTATTTATTCTTGAGAGAGAGACAGAATGCAAGTGGGGAAGGGGCAGAGAGAGAGGGAAACACAAAATCTAAAGCAGGCTCCAGGCTCTGAGCTGTCAGCACAGAGCCTAATGAGGGGCTTAAACTTGTGAACTATGAGACCATGGCTTGAGCTGAAATCAGACCCTTAACCAACTGAGCCACCCAGGTGACCCCAAAACACTGCTTTTAAGAGTCACTTCGTTCAGCTCCTTTCAGCTTCCTTTTAGTGAGGGTATGTGATTCATTTGTACCACACTTAGATTCACTTCTCACAATCTGCATTCCATTTTGGGTCCCCCTAACAATCTAACAATCTATTTTATTTTAATTTGCAAACAGTAAAACTCACTCTTTTTGGTGTACAATTTGTTTATATTTTGTTGAATGTTCCTGTGTCTGAGTATTCTGTGTTTGAGTATTCATGAGAGATATTGGTCTGAAATTTTGTTTCCTTGTGCTCTTTTTGTCTGGCTTTAGTATCAGTAATATTGCCTACAAAGAATGAGCTGGAAGTCTTCCTTCCTATATATCTGGAAGAATTCGTAGAAGGATTGATATAATTTCTTCTTCAAATGTTTGGGAGGATTTACTAATGAAGCCATCTGGGCCTGAGTTTCTATGGGAAGATTCAAAATTACTAATTCAATATCTTTTTGTTGTTGTAAGCCTACTAAGGTTTTCTAGTTCTTCTTAAATCAGTTTCAGTAACTGGTGTCTTTCTGGGAATCTGCCCATTTCATCTAACTTGTCTAATGTGTTGGCGTAAAATCATTAATTGTATTTCCTTATAATCTTAATATCTGTAAGGTAGAAAATGATACCCTCTCTTCAATTTCTAATTTTGTTACTGACTTTCCTCTGTATTTCCATCTAAATGTCTCCCATTCTCATTCTTGCTTTCTTTTTGATCAGTGTGTCTAAAGGTTGATTACTTGTATTGGTTTATTTGTGGTTTTATTTTCCCTATTGGTTTGCTGTTTTCTATTTTTGTTAACATAGGTTCTAGTCTTTATTATTTAATTCTTTCTGCTTCCTTCGGGTTTAGTTTGCTCTTCTCTTAGAAGTTTCTTAAGGTAGAGGATTAGGTATTTGAGACCGTTTGCTTTTCTAATTTAGGTATTTTAAGCTATAAATTCCGTTCTTTAATGGTATTAGAATAATGTTGAAACTATGTTTGGATGACATTCAGTTCAATATATATTCTAATTTCTGTTATGATTTTTTTCTTTGACCCTAAGTTTGGAAGTATGTTCTTTAAAAAAAAAAGAAAGAAAGAAAGAGAGAGAGAGAGAGAGAGAGAGAGAGAGAGAGAGAAAGAAAGAAAGAAAGAAAGAAAGAAAGAAAGAAAGAAAGAAAGAAAGAAAGGAAGAAAGAAAGAAAGGAAGAAAGAAAGAAAGGAAGAAAGAAAAGAAAAGAAGTCATTCTGGAATATCTTAGGGAAATCTTCTCTGATAAGGGAAGCTCCACCAAAACATGTGGACCAGAAACCCTCATAAATGACCCAGCCCGGGTTCCAGGACTGCAAGGACTCCCCAAGCTTCGGAATTCCCTCCTGGTGCCCCTATCTGTTTTCACATATTGCACTGTAACTCTGAAACCGAAGGGAGCCACTGAAGTGTTTTTGAAGACAATAAAAAAAAACATGACTCACTGTGGAAAAAAAAAAAGAAGTATGTTCTTTAATTTCTAAATATTTGGAGATTTTTGCACATTTCTTTCTGGTTTTGATTTATAATTCTATCCCTGTGGCCTTAAAACTACATTTAATTATTTCAATCCTTTTAAAGTTATTGGGACATTTTTATGGCCAACCATATGCCCTATTTGGAAAACGTCCCATAGGTTCTTAAAAAAGGTATAATCTATTGTTTGGGGGCAGAGTGTTCAATCTATGTCAAGTCAAGTTGTGGGATAGTGTTGTTTAAGTCTTTTTATTCTTACTGATTTCCTGTCTAATTTTTCTACCAGCTATTAAAAATGGAGTCTTAAAATATTCAACTATAATTGTCTTATTGTCTATTTTATATTTCAATTCTGTCAGTTTTGGCTGTGTGGATGTTGGAGGTCTGTTGTTAGCTGCACATAGGTTTTAAATTGTGATATCTTCCTGATTATCCATCATTTTATCACTATGAAATGTCCCTCTTTCTCCCTTGAAATATTTGTAGACTTAAATCCATGTTTGCCAAATATCGTTACAGTTATTCCAGCTTTTTTATGGATACTATTGATAATTAATATCTTTTCCATTCTTTTAATTTGAATTTATTTGTATATTTGAATCTAAGCTGTATCTTTTATAGCCAGAATATAATGGGTTTTGCTATTTAAAATCTAGTCTCTGTTCTTTTATTTGCACTTTTTAATCTATTCATATTTATTGTAATTATTGCTATGGTTGGATTTACTTTTTCCATTTTGCTACTTATTTGTCTCATGTATGTTTTTTGTTTTGTTTTTGTTTCTTGCTTCTCTGTTGCTCCTTTACTACCTTTGTTTGTGTTAAATAGACTTTTTTAGAGTATCATTTTAATCTCCCCTCTTCCCCCTTTATTTTTTACTAATTTTTGAGTTATTTTCATAGTGGTTTCTCTAAGAATTACAATATCTTAAATTTTCAAATATCTACCTCCTGACATGCATATGGCAAATAAATACATGAAAAGATATTTAACATCATTAGATAGTAGGGAAATCCAAATTAAAACC